CCTAAATACCTCCCCTCCACTATCCATCAAACTTTGCTTGATACCCATGATGTGTCTGTCTAATCTTAGGAACTAGCGTACCTCCCATTACAGCAGTTTCTGAAGAGTTCACAGGTTTTCATATATTTATCCTCTTGACAGTCCTCTGACATAAAGGAGGATTATCCCAGTCTCACAAATGGGAAACAGTCAGAGATAAAACTAGTTTCATTTTAAAAGAAATTCAGATACCTTATGCTGCAGAGAGACACCTGCTAAGAGTTAAAAAACAAAACAAAACAAAAACAAAAAAATCCCACAGCATTACCAGTACTTGAACCGGTATTACCACATATCATTTAAAATCTGGCATTTAGTGACCACCCCAAAGACACACACAGTCTGTGTGACAGAAGAAAAAAAGTACTCAAATTTTCCCAAAGTCCATGCTAATCTCTAAACCTGTGGAGCTTCTTTCTGTAATAGAAGAGAATATGTCTCTTTAACATGCATATTATTTTTAGGATTACACTCTCATATTCTTTATTGCTATTATTACTGAACCCAGAAGCTCTACCACAGATTAGGACTCAATTGTCAGAGTATGCACTTACAAAAATAGGCTACAATAAGGTATTGTAATTCAAATTTGCATGCAAAATATCCATGTAAAAATCCAGATATTACTACTGAAAGGTAGGGCCATCTTATTAGTAATATGAACCTTTATTGTATCTGGAAAAAATACATACCTTTACATTTGTATGTCAAAATTATCTAATCTACATTATTTCTAAGAAGGGGCTGGACAAAGGCAAGTAAGTATGGTGACCAGAAAAAGCTAAAGAATTAGAGCTGCAGATTGACTTTAAAACAGATGCTTATACTATTTGTAAGAGGTTCTTTTTTGAGGGGTTAGGCAAAGATGGAAGAATATACCAACTCTAAAAGTACACAATGATCTGATCTACAAATGTTACTGGTTGTAGTAACGGCCTCATAAAATAGATTTTGTCATTGTGTTACTCCAGTGAGCCACAGATTTAAGCTATTGATTCTTACAAGATATAATCAATTAACAGTTTTCTGCTGTTTATCTCATAAGAATGTCTCATCTCAGAAGAATTCTGTGTTTACTTCGGTCAAAATTATTTATTGAATCTTCATTCTGTTTTCGTCAACTGGTCAGTACACAATGGCTTAGAGAGAACTCTATGATAAAGATTTCAGAATTTGACTAAGTAGCACTATGAAAATACAATCAGCATAATTTTATTTTTCCTATCATTAAACTTGTTATTTCATTATATCGCTCTTCAAAACTTTACATTTCCCAATACCTGACTCAATTTTCTTTAAGAGAAGTGGTGTCACTGCAAATTTCACTCACTAGGGAAATAGCCTAATGGACCATCAGTCAGCCTCATGACCACAATATTTTAGACTAATAAAATATCTGCATGAAAAAAGATTTAATTTAATAATGGACTCATTAACTTTTTTCTTTTTTTTAATCCTAGCAGTTAGCAATTTCAAGATAATTAAACGTTATTCTTTAAAATAATCTATTGTTGATTTCTTGATGACAAATTAGTTTGGTAGTAAATGTATTTATACAAAAAAATATAACAACTAAAACTTAACAAACCTTAAAGAGAATATTATTATAATGTGATACAAATTAAGAAGAATGGGAGATACAATTTTTATTGAACTATAATGTCCAGTTCTGTTGTGCACTTACTTGCCAAGGAAAATACAACATTATCTCTTAAAATTCAGGTACTCTTTTTTCCTCCAAAATGTTACCACATGATAAAATAAATTTTTGGTTACATTTAAAGAAAGTATAATAAAAAATGCCAATAGCATCATTAGTGGGCTAAAAATATTAAGACCTTTTTTAAAAATGAATCAGGTGCAGATATTGAACTGTACTTTTTCATCCTTTGTCTCACTTTTCAAATGATAATTTCTTCCACAGTCACCATTAAATCTTGATCTATTCCAGCTCTCTGTATGGGTCATTGATTCTAGATGTACCATGGTTATTCTTAAACGTTTCCCTTTCGTAGAGAAAAAGAGGGCTGTCTAGAGCCAGATGGGTAACTTCACACTTCATTTATCAAACCCAATGCACTGGACTCCACCCTCTCTTTCCCACTATTGCTGTTAAATTTCCATATAATTTGGTAACAATTTTCATTATCATACAGTGACCCCAAAAAGTCTACTCCTGTTTGCATGGTCAGTCCAAAATTCACAGCTGTTCTCTCTACCCTCTTCTTGCTACAGTAGAAGCTCAGGTTCCCCTTACTTTATAAGCTGAACACTGACCTTTTATAGGCAGAGGTCAAGAAAGGGTCAGTTCAAAGGGCTAGAGCAACTCTTTAACAGCTATAACAATGTGTCCATCAGACAGGATCATGCAGTATAAACAAATCTGAGGTTTTAAAAACTCTGGACCATTTCTTTTAACGCTTACAGGACATTCACTGAGTCCTACGTGACGTACAGAACAACTTCAATCCCTAAGACCTGCTCAGATACTTCAGATATCAGATGATGTCTTCGAGTCACAAGTATTTGAAATGGCAAGCCATAACACTAAGTGCACAATCATGCGTTTTGGACTATGGAGCTGAAATAAAAAAAAAAATTACAGTAATTTCAGTTGATTACTATGCAGAAACACTGGCACAAGTTAAAGCAAATCATGCAGGGACATGCTTTACCCAAGAAGACAGACAGACATACCAAAAAAGTTTGGATATCCTTCTCTGAGAAGGACTGAATTTATAAAAGTTCAGTCAGTTTGTATTAGCAGTTCCCATCATTTATTATCATGTTTTATTTAAGGTGCCAATGACACAAATGAAACTCATGGAACAACAGAACGGCTACATAGCTCTATGAAGACCTAAGTGAAAAGTAAAGTTTTTGCCAGCTGCTCTCCCTTAGTTGACCTAAATTTCTTGGAGTTGTACTGTTCATAATGTGCTCTCTAATGCACAACGTAAGGTAATTAGATTCATCTGTATTTAACTTTCAGAGGAAAAAAAAATTCTATTATCTAATCTAGCTGATCCCCTGATAGCCTGTTGAAAGTAAAATACTGTAACCTATTGCCTGCCCTTTGACAAGTGCTAATTATTTCCTGTCCAAGCACATTTTTCTCATGTAATTCCAAAGTACACAACAGACTGATCTCTAAAACATGGGCAGCCGTGCTAGTACCACGGCCAACGTTTTATAACTTTCACCACCGTATGCTTGATGGCTACCACAGTCAGCGCTTCATTCCAGACATCTAGCTGAAGCTTTGATGAGGTAAATTGAGGTGCACGGTAACAGTCTGTTTATGCAGATCATATGGGTGAGACTTTCAGATAGGTCACTGGGATGAGAAACATCAAATGGAAAGAAAAAGGATTATGGATATTTAATACTCAAAGGACACTTTCTTTCAGAGCTTTCAAGACACAGCGCTCTTGAAATTTTCTTTCAGGTGCTTAGTTTTAAGGAGGCCTGCACTTTGTCTGCTCCTAAGCCTCTCCCGCCCCCACACAAGGGCTTTAGCATTTTGTGTCAGAGACTAGACTATGTCTACAGCTGCAACATTGGCTCCAGCTTTTGATTAAACTGTGAATAGTAAGCAGAGGCCAGAAACACTGTATCAAGATTACTTTTAAAACGGTCTTTTTTCGTCACGATTCCTGATGATTTGGTATATTAGGAAATTACTATTAAACTAAAACTCTAAAAAGATATTCTACTCATTACAGCTGCTTAGCAGTTTTCTATCTCTAGAAAGCCTTCTATTCTGGCACACAAAAAGAAGTGTATGTCTCATGAAAAACTTTCATGCAATTTACACAGTTTCCAATATAGCCAAATCATTTGTATTAGTTAGTAAGTACAGCAATGGAATATGGAAGAAAAAAAACCCACAACAAAAAAATCCTTTAAATTCCTTAAAAGTAAGACCCTAAAACCACACGATAATCTGAACAACATTACAGACTTACCTTGCTGAGTTATTTTCCACTCTGAGCTCTTAACTGATTGGTATACAACTGAGCATCCCATGCCCATTAGAAAGCAGGTTTATTAAAGAAGACCTTTAATTTGCAATAACAATTGGTACGGTGTAGTAATGTTTAATTTCTAAAGTTTCTGAATTGTTTCAATTCCATTCACCAAACACACAAACACCACATAAGAGACTGCTAAACATACAAATCTATAGGTTTTAGAAGTAGCTGTGAAAAAAGGGGAGATTGACTCATTTAGCAGCTAAAGAGAGGAAGGAGGCTGCAGAAAGGTCATAAGGCGGCATACAGTAGAAATTCTCTCTTTCGAACTCACGTATATCTGAAAGAACTTGAAATATGACAGACCTGTTTACGAAAAGCATTTATCTGACTACATGTCAAATAAAATCATACACAAATTTTTAAAATTGTTAGCAACATCACCTGTTTTTTTTTTTTTTTTTTTTTTAAACCATGGTAATACATTCAATTTAAGAACTCAAGTAGCGTAAAACAGTCATATGATGCGAATTCTAGCAGTAAGTACATTCATGCTGATCTCACCCAACACAATCTGGTTAACATCAGTAAGATACCATGAGAAAATGTCAGGAGGATCAGAATCGATACACAGCAGGCAAGAAGGACAAAAGCACATCTACCATATCCATACCAGCAAGGACTATTGGTGATATTGTCAGCAATATAAGGAAAACCTCAGGGCATTTAAGGCGATAGCAATCTTCAAATGTGTATGCTGCCTATTATCAATACCTTGCACTATATAAGCACAGTAAGGGAGCATTCCACCCTACAAATTAACTTTGAAATCAATTCAAAGAAAAATGCTAACAGAACTGTAAAAAATTTGTTTTTTTTTTTAAACTATCAAGTTGTTTTCTCCCCCCCATCCCTGAAATGTTTTTATAATAGTATATTTGATATGCTTGTTTCTCATTTCAACATTATTTTTCTGAAATTTCTCACCTTGCTGTCCATTCTTTACGTAGCTTCTGTCTTTCAGTAAGAACTAGCAAGAGGCAACTGATGGTTTCATTCCTTTGTTCCACAGTTTGATCTTCTTTTCCAACTTCAGAGAGGACCAGGCTCGTCTTAAAAGAATAAAAAGCATGAAAATTATAATCCAGAAACAGGAAATAATGTATAAAATTAATAAAAAGCCCATAAGCAAATAAGGACAGTAAATCAATGGCTTTTTTATTACAGTTTCACTGCCGACAAATCAATACAGTAAATGATGGCCAAAAGGGCCACCATATATTTAGTAGTTAATCAATGTACATGGCACATAAGGTAAGTCTTAAAATCTCATTGCCTTAAGTAACACAACAAGACATTGTACATTCTAGCTCTCATTTTCTGAAGACTTTTTTTTTTTTAATGTTTTCTTGTGTTAAATACTATCAGAAGTTTTTTTCTTAATACAGCATTTGTTTGAGGGATTTTCCCCTCCCCTTTAATCCTTGCTGATGCTAATGACGAAAATTCCTGTTTGTACTGTATCTCCTGAAAGGAGCTTCTAGTGCTATCCCCATGCTCTCTTTATCATGAAACAATAAAATATTTCAAGTACATAAGTAGTTTTTTCATTTACAGAATAAATCATAAATCGCTAAAAGATACTTATGCAATGAACGGATTTAGTCAGTTTTTGGAGCAAGATCACACTCAGTGTTTGCAGACCAAAAGACATTGGCCTTTCCAGATATTGCATCAACAGCTGAACCAGTGAAACTGCAGATCTGTGTCCTCCACCCACCCAGCAAGGTAACTAATTCCCCTACTCCACCCTTGCCTTCTACTACTAACTCCCCCCCCAGGTTTTCTTCTCTTCTTCTCCCAGCACTTCCCCAGGTCTGCCATCTCTGGACTGGCAGGAAACAGCACATGCTGATGCTCATTTCTAACACGTATGCTGACCTGCGAGTACATCTGCTGACTGGTTGTGCAGCAGTCCAGCCACAACAGACAACCGGAGTTCATGCTGCAGACTTTTCCTTCATTGGGGATCATATATGTGTCTTCTCCTTTCTTAACCAGCTACTGATTTTCACTTAATTACCTTTGATATTCTAACCTTCAGTCATATATTACGGAAACAGACCAAAGTAGCTGAATGCTTTTGGTGGAAGGATGACTGAATGCTGAATGGACAGACTGCTTGCACAAGCCTTTTTTTTTTTTTTTTTTTCCTTCCACAGAGGATTCTGAAAAAAGGTTTCTAACCCAAACGATTGTGGAGGAGAGTTTGAAAACACATCTCAAGTAATAACCAAAGCCTAATAGCTGCAGCTGCTACCAGCAGCATGGTATCTCTCATGGGAATAACATGACAAAAAGGTAGGGCATATAGCTTCCTTCTAAACATCAAAGTATACATTTCCTTCTGCCCTGCCCAAATGTACACACACTAGAATTCCTCAGGGATTCTGTGAAATAGATGGTTGTTATTATCTTTAGTTTCTGAAAAGAGTAAATCTATCCTTGGTCTGACATTTTTTTTCCACTAGAAAAAATAACACTCAGATTATACACTTTCTACAGTATGTAAAGTAGCAGTGGCATTGTTACCACCTTGATAGCTCCAAGACAAAAGCACAAGGTCCACAGACAGAAAATATTTTTATTATACCAACAACAGTTGACAACATCCAAAAAGCATCCTTTTTTTTCCCCAACTGTATCAGGTCTACAAAAACATACTCCGTCATAGGAAACTACCCCTTCCATCAAAAAGAACACTCTTTGTGAAAAAAATAACTCCCTCCAAATTTCTGTCTATAAGGATCACATTCTTGACCCTGCTCTGACATTAGAAAGCAAATAAAAAGTCAGAGAGTATTTTCAGATAAGGACTCTCTGAGACTGATTTCCCTTGCATTGACCTACAACATCTTTTCCACAAGCTCTAGTACCTGCCAATTTCAACAATCGTAAGGCTCACTTCCCGCAACTGCGCAGTTCAAAGCAGAATCGCACAGAGGACTTTAAGGTGCAAGACCATACCAGCATGAGAAGAAGAGATGGGCATTCTTTAATAGAGGAAAATGAACTGAAATGAACTAGTAACGGTGTACAAGTCTACTGCTCTCCAAGATGGTAGAAAAGCCACAAAGTTTCATGACAATACGCACCACAAAGCTGAAAGTATAATTATTTGCAGCAAACAAAAATCAAGGTCCCCTAAATAGATGGTTCCCAAAGAATAAACCATGGAGTCCTGGTAATCCCTAAGGAATTTCTGGTTAAAATATGATGAAAAAAGGATTTGATGAACTATCAAACATGTCAAAGGTGGAAAAGTTATCAGTCAGAAAAGATGGGTGACCACTTCTCCAAACATTCACAATCGCCTAACACTTCTGCATAAATTCCGATGGCCTGGCCATATTACAACCTTGGTGAGCCAGTCTACTGTCTACCCTTGCACCTACAGCTTCATCTTAGCTCTGGAAAGTTAACATAACTTTTAATGAGAGAATAATTATATTGCCCCAGACTTCTGTTAATGCCTTTCATTTATGTGGGGATGTACATAGTTCAAGTCAAACTCATAGTTTGACACTGACATAATAAATGCTTCTTTACTGAGCCCTGTGAGCACAATTGCAGCTACCTTGAGGGTGAAATAGTACTATTAAGCAACATACAACAGCAATATATAGCAATTTAACTGATTTACTCCTTTCCTAAAAGTGCCGAGGGCAATAAGGTTACCTGGAATGTGAGTGCAGGACTTGATATGCAGCTTTTACAGAGGTATTTCTTAATAACTGGCTATTCTTATTGTCTCAATAAAAATTCTCAAACTGTAAAAAAATACAGCAGCATTCCAGGCAAAATAATATTAGGGGAAAAAAATCTTACGAAGGAAGGTGTTTTATATGTAACTTGTTTTGGGATTTATTTTTAACAATAGGATTCAATATATACTTTGACTGATAAAGGTCAAGGGTTCAAGAAACTCGGTCAAAGATGTTATCAGCTGGGAAAGCCATTTCCTCACATCACCACTGATAAAAATCCATCAGAAACCCAGCCGATACCACCTCTGCTCTAAAGGGCAGGAATGACCTTCTTTTGAACATCACTATAGTTGCACATCCCATCAAAGAAAATCTGACCCTGTGTCTCAATTCTTTTAATGTTCCTTAATGACAGATAATTGTCTGCAGAGGCCCCCTTTGCCCAATGCTGAGTGAAGCTTTCAGATTTCTAAACTGGACTCAACGTTGACTCAGTGTTTTTCAACACACTTGGGACCACAGGACAGTAGAATAAATAAACAATGTAACCAGCCCCACAGCCTGTCTTATCTCATCCCTGTGTTAGCAGAGATTCTTGAGGATGGTAATGTTTACAAATTGCTGAAACTCTCTTTCTTCTGCTTTCTGAGCTGGCAAAAACATATCCTGGGCAACCTAAGCAAAGAGATTATGCAAACTGCTTATCACTAGGGGGAAGTGACTTCTCGTCTTATTGGCCAGCACGTCTCTTTAATAAATAGCACTGCTAATATTTTCAGCAATTCTTTCTCATTTTTCCTTACAAACCTACAAATGTATTTAGGACATTTCCTTTGCAAAACTCAAACGGCATGGTCTTAAAACAAATAAATACCCCGTCTCTCAAAACAGCCAAAGCTATATATGCAGATTTATATCAGTTGCCAATCTGGCCTTCCGTGTTAAAGATTGTATGGAGCAAATCATATCCTTTACCTTCCTCCTGGTAAAATGGCAGAACTAGATCTAGTGCTCTGCTGACATAACAGGCAACAGCCATCAGAACATTTTCTTTCATTATGTAATAAATAGAGGTAATAAGGTAAGATTTTAAGAGAGACCAATATAGTATTTTTCTCATTCCCACTAACAAAATAAATCAGTGACATGACACTAAATGGAAACTGTTATAACCATGTCTCTCTTACTACGCTTAACAGGCCTAATCTAGGTATTGGAATACGATTAAAACAATACTTATTCTCACATGCACAGCTGAAGGAAGGAACTCTCTTTCTATATAAATAGTGCAATACGCTGCTTAACCATATCTAAAAACAAAAACAAAAAAACCCCACAAACACACATAGATATATTTTTTTAGTCACATTTTAGCTACATTTTACTTCCTTTAATACAGAATTCTCCAGGAGGTGGACTTAAGATTAGAAACATTGTATAGCTGGAGACATGAAGCCTAATATTCTGTCAAACAATTTAGCTTTTCAGTCTGATCTAAAGTGGCACTCGGGACAGTTTGCCTCTTGGTCCCACCTTGTTGGGTCAACAAATGAGATTTTCACTCTGAGTTAAGATTTAATTTCCTCATCGTCAGTTTAAATAGGATAAACTTCTGAGTCTTTACTACTCTCTTCTACTTAAACATATTAGTTACTGATTATTGAGTAGTGTCTACTACAGGAAGGAAAAAAGCAGGTTTTAACATCTGTAAGCAGGACTTAAAAATTTTAAGGTCTTTCCTTATCTTCCTCATTATTTTTGTGATCTTATTTTGCTATTAGTGCAAAAAGTATTCTGATGAAAATCTGTACAACTAGAGGTGTGCCTTTAAGAGAAAAAATACCCTGAAATCTATTAAGCCATGTTAATTTAACATGTCATGATTTCTATGCAATAAAAAAACCTAGTAACTGATTACAAACCATTCCTCTTTTCTTTCTACTTTTTAAATTTTTACTTAAAATATGAGTAAATGCACACATTTTCATTGATATAATGCAAGTAGCAGGTATGTTTTAAGTTATCACCCAACAATTTGGGCACACTAAACTCAACTCTCTGCCTTTTGTTTATTAATCCGCTATGCCAGATATCAAAGTTTCACTCAGCAACTCTCATGTTTTGGATGATATTGAAAAATGGCTCATGTTTGTCAAAGAAAGTAAAGGAGAAAAAAAAAAGGTAAAGAGGAAAAAAGTGTTGTTTATAGAAGCCAGCTGCTCTGGCTTCGGCGCCAGCAGCTCTTCATCCTGCTATTTTACGCCTGCAACCCCCACTGCCCCCACTGGCACAGGTACAACTAAATGTTGACTTCAATGCTTCAGAGAGCACTCAACTGATTCTGT